GTGAAGTCATAAAAGCCAAAGCAAAACAAAAATGGTTTAATACAGGTGAATGTCAATGCCAACCAAGAAAAAGGAAGTGAAGCTGCAGCTCATCTGGGTGACTGCAACGTAACAGAACGGCGTGCATGCAAGGAATTTAAAATAAGGGAAGAATCTGAATGTGAACAATACTGAAATGAAAATCAAACAGTATACTGACTGAAAGGGAGGATGGAATGTGCAAGCAGCTAGCTGGTAGCAAACATTAACTATAGCAGATGTGACAGCCATTAGCTGCAAATGCATGTTAAATTAAAGCCAGCATCTGTTCTTGCAGAGATGGCCCCAGTCACCTTAAACAAAAGGTTAGTTTGGAAATCAAAACTTTAGAAAAGTATTAAAGGCAGGTTTTGGGAGAGGTAGAGAAACGTGCTATCTGATAGAAGTCAATGAAACCTTTTCAGGTAAATGTAAGATTCAATGATTTGACTTCATTCAAAGCTGAGCAAGCAGTAACGTAGATGCTGGTGACAAATGCTGAGATTAGGAAAGCAAAGTCTCAAAGATTTCCAAATAATGACTAGCATTTCACTCTGAGCAGCACTTGCACGAAGAGGAACAAAATGATTACAGTAGCAGGCACCATAAAATACTGGGAGCCGGTAAAATGAAAGTAGGAAGAATGAGTAACTCAGTCAAGAAACTCAATTGCACGGTTACCAAGGCCGGATGTAATTTCAGAAAGCTGATGAAAAGGACTTCCAAAACGATGAAGGGATTACAAATTGTAAAATAGGTGGTAAGAACTATCATCAGAGAAATCGCAAACTGAAAAGAAACCATGTCATCTAATCAGAGTGCTGAGAGCTAAGGAATAAAAAATGGAGGAAACATGCCTTGCTGGGACATCTTAAAAATGTTCCTAGCCACTGACTGAGCAGTTAGACTGATCAGAACTACTTAACAGCAGGAAAACCTTACAGTAGAAGAGTAGAAGAGACCCAAACTGCCAGTATTTGGTATTCTGTTCTTCCCATCGCACGATCAGTTACATAGTACTGGCTATCTAAATTTATTCTAATAAACAGTATGCTGAAATAACTGTTTCAAAGACACTCCTAGCAAACTTTTTTTAGGGTTCATAAATTCTGAAAAGAATTTATGTGTATATCTAAGAGTTTATTTCTTGGGTTGGGACTTGTGGTGAAATATTAAGTTCAATTTCATTTGAGCCGATTTAACCATCCTTATATTAAGTCATAAAACTATGGTTTTGAACATGTATCTGCCTTACTTCTAGAATATTGTACAGATCTGAAGCAAAGATCAGGTGCTAAAGTAACAAGTCAAAAGTAAGAGGCTAGATGGCTTTGGTCAGTGAGGATCTATAGTAAAGTAATCACTTCTTACATTTCAGTTTCACAGTAGTGAAGTTTAAAGTGTAACTAACAACAAAGTAAAACTTGAATTTGAAGTAACTATAGTTTATTGCCTAATAGTGTGCAGCAAGAAAATTTTTAGTGAGTCCAAAATTAAAACTATAACAAATTCAGTCAAAGTACGATTATGTATGAGATCTCCAAAGACTATGGGAAATTAGGAAATAGGGAGCTTTTAGTAATGATCTTGTTTTTGTGACACTGTGCCCTGTGACTAGCTGTTGGCTCTGCAGAGCACGTAACAAATCTGCAAGAGGGTCTGCCTGTTTATGGGGATGGCTCAGCCTTCAACAACAATCCAAAGCTCTTAGAAACAAATGGTTGGGTGACTGTAAGGAACCGTTTCGGTTTTACATCAGTCTCCCAGTGGATACGGGCCCATAATAATCTTTTTAGGAACTCTGACAAAAAAATGTGGAAAAATTAGCTATTCTTGCTCAAAAAGCTGAGTTTTCAAAGCTGGGTTTTCATGTTTACTAGTACAGGATTTGATTCTACACCTATCTTCTCATTTTCCAGTCTGAGAAGCAGTCCTCGGGGAACAGTTTTAGTTGAGAGGTTTATAGGAGAGTAGTTTTCCAACGCATTGGCTTTCTTAGAACCAAATCAGAAAAGTAGCTCAGAGCTACCAGAGAGAGCACCGACACCTGTCCAGCTATCTCACTTGGACACACCAGCACTACCACTACGGTACTACTTCTTGGGATGCTTATGGGTATCTGAAAACCAGGCACATACTCTTAAGTATCTATGCTGCCTTTGGGAAGGCTGTGCAAGAACTGCGGGGGATATGCTACCAGCATTTGCTTCTCCCAGCATATCACCATGTCCCCTACACAAACATAATCCTTGCAATCTAGCCCTTACAATTTAGAAATGATGTCTTTATAAAAAAATGGTGTAATACTTCCATTAAAGCAGAGAAATCTCTTATGAAACCGCTGATGTTAACTTTATTACAGGGGTACAGGACACAAGTTACAATGACAAAATTGGCTAGCTAGTATAATGTAGTTGGCTGTAGACTATTATAGGTTTTGTACAAAAAGGAATCTGTTGCTGCCATATTTTTGTTTGTATTTTATACTGATTAGAAGTATCTCTGTTTGCTCTGTTGGGTTGACATATAAAATCTTCTTGTCATTAGCAGGTACTTCTTGCCAACATATTTATGAATTTTCTATGATAGATCAGTGACATGAAGTTCGTTCCCATTTTTGTTGACTAAGAGTTGCTGTTTGAATATTAAGTAGGATTTAATTTACTGCCACAACATAGATAATACCTGAAAATATTATTATCCCAGAGGGTTGAAACTACGTTAACCTTTCCATGCAGCAGCAACTACCTTGGGTCTATATTTGAAAAGACAAAACCAAACTAAAACAGGTAAGCATGATGCTGATGCTCTGTTCTTGGGTAATGTTTCCTATGCAGTGTCCTCCTACTGTGCATTTTCTGTCATTTTTGTCATTCTCCTGATAAAGTTATAAATGCTATTACACAATAAACATTAGAAATGTCAACCCAAATAGAATTATCTGAAAAGAGATTAGTTTCATTATTTAGAATCATAGAGTCGTGGAATGGTTTGGGTTGGAAGGGACCTTAAAGATCATCTAGTTCCAACCCCCCTGCCATGGGCAGGGACAAAGGACATTTAAACAAAGGAAATATTGTTTCTCTATTTTTTTTCTGGAAACTGATTACAGGATAGGGGATAGAGAAAGGAATGGAAATTTGCCCATGAGTTTCAAGCCATTTGGGTTGAACTTTAATTTAAAAATAAACTTTTCTTAAGCAATGATCTTTGAATTGTGGACTTCTAGTGTTAGCAACTCATTTAAATAGCCGTACAGTAAAAGTGGTTGGGAAGCATTGTATTTTAATGACAGTTTTGCCCATAAGAACTGCAAGATTTTATTCCATCACTAAAATCAGCATTACTGCCACGTATAAGTGACAGTGTGAATCTACGTGTGTCGAAGAAGTCCATGGCATTAGAAGAAAAAAAGAAAAAAAAAACCATTTTGGTCTGGAACTGGAGCTGATGGAACAGAGGCACCCTAAATAACATCTAAAAATTGCTCTGGCCAGAGATTCCTTTGATATATGGGTTATTTCAGCTGCTTACCTTTAGATTAAAAATATTAGTAGTGATATTCTCACAAGTCAACACCAGATACTTGAATAATCCTCACAGATGTTAGTACTTTAAATAGGAGAGGTACTGTCATTCCTATAAAATAAACACATAGTAGGATGGAAATAAAAAAATCCCTCCAAGATGTTAAAGTGTAAACACAGCCTCTTGCAGTAAGCACATGGAGAACTGCAGCGAGAAATGAAAAACTTGGGAAGTCAGAAAATGTAAGTAAAAACGGAGCTGGCACATCTGTCACTTAACCCTGAGGATAAATGTCCTAAATAATGAGATAGTCAGGAATGTAAAGCTGGCAAAGGAGATGAACTACTCAGAGTGGAAAGAGACAAGAGAGACCTAAAAACTCACACAGGCGTTTTGAGCCCTCATCAGATTCAAGTCAAAGAACATCTCTGAAATTTGTAACAGGGATGTGGACTCTAAAAAAACCTCAGTAGTTAAACAAAAAAAAAGTTAAGTTCAGTGATCAAACTGGGTCATAAAAACCAAATCAGAAACCAGAAGCAAACGTTGGATGGCAATTCAACGAATGGAACAGGAAAGGGGATGTGGTAAATTCTTCATTACCTCGAATCCTTAAATCATGATGTAATACACTCATTTGTTCCGAGTTTCTGGACTGTGGGTGCTGACCCCCCGCTTTCCCTAGTGTCAGCAAATGCAATCAGGGAGCTATGAAGCATTGAAAATTTACTGCACTCTTCCCTACTCTTTGCACACCCCCAGTCTTCAAGGTCAAATAACTTCCATCAACCTCCCCAAGCTCTCCTAGATTTATATAGATTTACTGCCACCAATCATTCTTTAAATATTTTATAATAAACAGTGAAAATCTGACTTAAATGAGAAACTTCAACCTAAGAAATTCAAAAAGGGCTCATCTGGTTCTGGTCACTGTATTTGGTGACGGAACAGAGAAACAAATGCACCATTATACAGAGTAGCTGATAAAAGTCTGTGCTGTTACTGGCTGTGGCTGTATGTTTTAAGTAACTATTTGTAATGAAAATGAAGCATGGAACAATTTTCGTGAGGAATAAAAACTTAAATGTTCAGTTAGGAACCTATTTTGTACTTGGCTGTTGCTCTAGTGTGTTATTACTTCTACCCTGGACAAGTTTTGTGGGTACTGCCTGCATTTGCTGCTTCTGCCTTTATTTCTGCTTTTGACAGGATGTTTCTTGTGCTGTTTGAATTTCTTTCACATTAAGATACTGACACTGAAGTCATGCCGTAGGTACCACTTAAGAGCCATTCGTTAGAAATTCAAATAATAGTTTATTTTAAAACCCTCTTAAGTAAATTCACCAATCTATTAAATGTGCATGAAAGAGTCTTAAATTAAGTTGTATATATTGCAGCTAATAACAGGCCTCATAAAGTTTAAATATCTTAATCCAGACACTGAAAACTTGTAATTACACTGTGTATCCTGGAAGCTTGTTTACTACAAGTTCACTGATGTCTTTGTATTGATTAGGAACAAGTAGTTTTCCCAGAAAATCATCCTCTTTGTCTGACATAGTGTTTTCCAGGACACTAAGTTCAAGGTCAGACGTGTTAGATGGCAAGTAAGAGCTAACCTGATTTACTGACTGGCTTTTTCCTGCAGAGGTCTGCCCCTTTCCTACACTCAGATCCGTATCAGAGCTAACTTGTTTGCTTCTCAGTGCAGATACTTGTTTAATATGCTGATCACCCCTGTTCTCTTCCTTCCTGATCTGTTGGGCTTCTTGCTCTTCATCTAATGACGATGCTGCCATTTGAGCAAGGTTAAGTGAATCAACAGATTCACCGCTAGTTCTCTTGCTGGATTTCAAGTCACAGTTTCTCTTCAAAGACTGGACTGGAGATGAAGCTGAAGGAATTGGCATAAGATCTGATGTACTTTCAGCTCTTTGACTTGTCTTTGAAATTCTGGACCTGCTGGATTCCGGCTCTGTATCTGAGCAACCTCGCTTTGGGCTTTCAAGCCACAGAGGTTCAGGACTGCTGTCCAGAGCTTCCGAGTCTCTGCCCGTGCACTCAGCACTGGTGAAATCTTCTGAATAAACTGTGTCCTCGAGACTAGCAACAAAGTCATCTGAGTATATGAATTCAGAGTTGTTTTCCACACTCCTGCTGGGGCTTGGTTTCTGATCACTTACACAAGACGCATCATCATGCTCCGAGGTTTTACGATGGATTAACTGTACTGCTCCCTCATTACTTCCCTTAGCATTAGCATCTGATGGGAAAGCTGCTGGGAGTTGGGCTTTCACATAATTCTCGTGAGCAGATTTTAATGCAGTTTTCTCCAATAAGGGGGTTGTAATTACTTTGCGTGGACATTCCTTGCTTGCTATTTCCTCATCCTTGAATTGACTTGCAATAGGCTGTTTCTGCAGGTCAGGGGACACAGCTCCTGTCATGGGAACGTACTCTGTCAGAGCCCTGTTTTGTAATGAAGTCTCAACAGTTTTATCTAACTGATTATTCTGCTTTGAACTGCCTGCCTTGCTACAATGCCTGCAAAAAACCACATGCTGTTCGCCAGCGTTTCTGAGCAGCTTTCTTTTGGACAAAGGACTTCTCTCCTTCAGCATCCCCATTTGCTTTTTCCTGTACTGCTCTCTCCGTTCATGAATTACCAGCTTATCAGGATTGGTCTGCTGTAGCCGTAGCCTCAGTGTATTCGTCAGCCCATACAACAATTTCTTTCTGGGAGGCTTGTTTTCCTTAGTTTTGCAGTTACTTTTAGAGTCTTTTTCACCCTGAGGTACAGCTTTCCTAGGTCCTCTCCCAGAACAAGACAACCCTGGTGAGGTGGCCTTTTGCCGGCCTTGCTTTAATTGAGGGCTGGCAGCTCCCCCGCTCCCACCAGGCCTCACAGGTGCCTCAGCAGGCTGGAGGGCAGAAGAGCGGCTGGGGCTGGGGGGCCGTGAGGCCATGCCACCACTCTCCGGGGCCTGGTAGAGCCAGGCAAGATGGGGGTGTACAGCAGCAGGCATGGTGCCGTGGGTGAGCACAGACAGCTCTGCCAGCAAGGCACTGAGCAGAGGCAGCTGCCCCAGAGTGTGGTGGAGCTGTCGAGGGCTGGCAGGGTGCATCAAGGAGGGCCCAGCACTGGGCCGTGGGGGGCTCTGACCCTTGTCTTTCTCCTGTGGTCTCCAGCACCCGACGTGCTGCCATTGCCCTGCGGCTGCTGGTGGCGGGTGAGGCTCAGCAGGCTCGCGGCTGTAATACAGCACGGGAGGGCAAAAGATGTTGCCTTCCAGCTCCTCACCTTCCTCCTCGTCCTTCTCCTCCTCCTCCTCGCCC